GCCTTAATAATTGGAATAGGGTTTTGGGGCCCAGTATACTTTAATTATGATATCACGAACCTGCCGGCTATGCATGTCGTCGAACTATGATAAGGAACCCCCAAAAGAGTGTTGGTAATGATTTAATTAGGCCCCTACGTTAGATGGTCTTGAGGTTCCGGTAGTTGCGGGACTCAAGCCTTCAGCGCGTGATCTACTTCGTTCACCCAATGGCTCCATGTACCCATATAGTATATACTTAGGCCTTAAAGGGGTTCCTATATAGGTACTTTAGGGTCTAAGTATATACTATATGGGTACATGGAGCCTTTGGGTCATGCAGCTGCCGCAACAAATCCCAGGGACATCCTCGCGGACTTCCGGAGGCAGCATCCACACAGCACTGAAGCCTTGCACCTTCTAACTCTACGCCCCCAAACCGGAATCACAATCAAGCAATATAGGCCCTAAAACGCGGAAACAAACGAAACCTTACTGATCCTGCAATAATATAGGGGCCTTAATGATTGGAATTGGGTTTTGGGGCCCATTATGCTATAATTATATTAAGGACCCCCCCAAACAAAAAAAGAAAGTTTAATTATTTAGGCCCCTGCATTACACACCGTGATCCCCAAAGTCTGTAAAAAAGCCCGAGGAGCGCGAGCCACGGGTCGAGAACAATGGCTTTCGGAAGGGCGTCCAGCCACACGTACCTCGATCTTCAGCAGTCACTTTCGGTGAATTTCGTACGTACACTTTTGCCCGGAAGGACGACGGCCACGAAGGCAACAAATGACAGCAAGCCGTGGAAGTGGGAACTATGAACAACCAGTGTATCCCTTCTGTTGTTGCCGTTGTTGTCGTTGCTGCTGTTAGCCTACCCACAGGCCTCTAAGTAGTTCCTTTTTATGGTTTATATATAGAATCCTATAAGGTAATCCCAAACAGGAACTACTTAGGGGCCTACTGGTACCTCGTCATTTGCCCATCACGAAACGATTCACAAGCGGGAGAGGAGGCTCTACATGGCATTCTCAGACACAAGCCCAGAGAGCACCATACTCCTTACTTAAGGAACATAACCTTAAATCACAAGATTAAGGCCCCGATAGTTTAAGGTATATTCCTTTAAGGCTATAATTTAAGGTATATTCCATATTTAAGGGGTCTTGGGGTCTCTTGGAGGCTTCCAACGCCTCCAGTCTTGGGTTTCCGGCTCCTTTTTTTCCGGCTCTGACGGCTTCCGAAACCCAATGTGCAGCTGCAGCTTGATTTATCTGACTGGCTCTTAGTAGGGAATGGAGGAATGGGTTTCCCCAAAACCTGGTGGAGATTGTCTCAGCTAAGACCCCAGTTTTCTGACTGGTTCTTCGTAGGCAATGGAGGAATGGGTTTTTGGGACTACTCTACGGGGACCTCAAGGGACTATCATAGGGATCCATTCCCCCACTCCCTACTAATAGCCAAGGAGTTATCCTCACAGGGTCCAGAGTGAGGGGTGGAACCGGCCGCGTGAGCTCTGCCCCAGTCCTTTCCTGTTTCTGCCTTTGACATGTGTACCCTTGCATGACGGCGGACTCGTAAGTACATGTGACGCACATACACGCATCTGCACATGCATGGATATCAACCTTAGAAGAGACAGAGAGAGAGAGAGAGAGTGAGGGAAAGAGACTCAAAGAGTGCATATGTGTGTGTGTGCATGTCGGTATGTCTCTGCATATCAGCACGTACATACATACATGCAGGCATGCATGTATGCTCTCATGAATGTATGCACACATACATGCACGAATGCATGCAATCCTGCAAACATGCATGCATGCGTACATACATACTTACAGGCATACATGCACAGATGCCTAAACTGGCCTAAACCATCAAACACATACATCCATGCATGCATACACACACATACTTCCGTGCATGCATACACGAATGCTTACCTACGCAGACAGATACAAAAACACACGTGCATGAGTGCATGTCTGCAAACGTACGCACATTCATCCATCCATCCATCCATCCATCCATCCAAACATGCATGAATTCCATGCATGGGCTCCTGTGCTAACAGCTAACATGATCAGCTGCACGTTCTCTTGACCCCTGTAACCACGTGTGCTTACGTAGTGATTGTGGCTTCAGTATGTTGCTGCACAGTTACGAGTAGCTCAGCTCAAGCACACTATTGACCATTGCGTCCACGCACTTCAGCCAAGCACATTCTAAGCAACTTAAACCCTAAACCCTAAGCGGAGCGAGAGCTTGGGCACGTCTCTTTGACCTTGGTGGCTGGATCTGTGCAGCCAGCATAAGGTGCGAACTCGCCTCCAGCTACAACCAGAGTTGAGAGGTCTAGGATCAACAGCTCTAAACTGTAGGATTGAGGGCTTTAGGGAATTAGGGTTTGAGGTTATTTCTGGGTTCTTGAGACTTTAGTTGCAGGCTTCGGGTCTTACGCCTGGTTGCAGCAGGACTGGACTACTCTGTGCGACGTGTGTGAATCCAAGACCCAAAGTCCTAAGTCACACAACAGTCAGCCCAGGGTTTAGGGTTTAGGGCAAACCTAAAGTTATACAACCACTTGACCCAAAACCCAGACACCTACAACCCCAACACAGACGAAATCCAAAATCCTAACAAGGCATACTCGCCTAGCCACTTGAGGCAGTCCTAAGTGCCCTCGTAGTAGAAAGCAAGCGCCGCCTTCTAGACCAAGAGCAATGAGATCCTCATTCCAAAAAGGAGTCCTCTGGAGAGGACCTTTAATTCTTAATAACAGTATTAGTATGGCATTAAGAACAATAAGAGCTACAACAACAAGAAGACTAGTCATCATCATACTCACCCCTGATCATAACAAGAGTACTCATAGTCATGTTGTGAACTTCCGAAGTCGAACCACGGCTGGAACATACCAGCGGGTCTTGGAGCTCGCGAGGCTTCAGAAAACGGCACCACGGTTTAGGCTTTGGTTTATTGCGCTTTTAGGTGTGTTTACTCTAAACCCTAAGCCCTAAAGCCTTAACCCCCAAAAGTTCAGGGAGACTTTGTTTTTTTCTGGGGGATGATGGTCTGGGGTTCAGGGTTTAGGGTTTCGGAAAGCTACACATGCGCTCCGCACCTGCGCTGAGCGTTGTCGGGATCGACACCTGCGGAATCAGCTTGGTGTCCTTCACTGCAGACACGTCTCCTTAGCTTCTTGTCTACACTGAGTTGGGCTTCCCAGAGACTCCAATATCCCTTAATTAATTAAGGAATATACCTTAAATTATAATGGGAACCCTAATAAGATTTAAGGTATATTCCTTAATTAAGGGATATTGGAGTCTCTGGCTTGTGACTTCGGGTTTAGGGTTTAGGGTTTAGGCCGTTAAGGAGTTTCGCATTGAGGTTTTGCTAGGTGCCCGAGAAGCTTAAAGGCTTTTTAAGGCAGTTAAACCTTAGCCCCCCAAAAAAACTCGTTTGCTACCACTTTTGGCTACGCAGTTCATATGTATACCATCACAGTCCCAATACGTACTTCAATGGACTACCGCTGTTCTGGCTAGTTGAAAGCTCATTCCACAACGGCAGCATAGACTGGCCGTGCGAGCAGGGGCCTTGAGAATCGGAATAGGGTCGTGCATGCCATGCTATGCCATATACTGTAAGGAATCCTGAAGAATAGTCTTAGTAAACCTGAGGAATAGTGTTCGTTAGCATTTAAGTCCCTAGAGTAACAGTAATATAGAGGCCTTAATAATTAGAATAGGGTTCTGGGGTTCCTTATTATAATTATAGTACAATATACCCCCAAACCCTATTCTAATTATTAAGACCCCTATATTAAGCCTCTGAAGTGCAAGCCAAGCACCCTTGAAGCAGTATTTGCCCAGCTCCTGGAAGTTGTTGGCTTTGCCGGTTTCTCAGGGCTTCGGGTTTGAGGGCTTTAGGGTTTAGGGTTTTAGGCTTTAGGATATTATGATGGCTTGCCGAGCTCACTACATCGGGTGTGCCAAGTTCAAAAGCGGTGTAAGCGTAAATTTGGTTGGACTTGCGCACGTATGTATGTACGTATGTATGTATGTGCAATATACATGTATACAACATTTTGTTAACGGCCGATTTGTTCAAGGTAAGTAAGAGGGCAAGAAGGGACGGCACGGCTGCTTCTCCATGCGCTCCTTTTGATTGGTGAGTACAGGACCCTTCATACAGGTTATGGAAAACAGATGCAACAGAAAGCCAGGAGAAGCTCGGGTGTTGTGATGTTGGGGTTGGAGCAGCATGTCCTGGGGCCTTCTGGCCTTGGCATTTGTCTGTGACAGTAGGGACAGGGCTTCAGGGCACTGGGCGCTAGGATTTATGCGCTTCAGGTTTAAGCTTCCTTAAGCGAATGCAAAAAGGAGATAAGTCAGAAGCGCGAAGGCTCCAAGCCGGCAGAGGGTCGCCCTGCAACATCTGGAGCTTCCATTGCCCGCAAAAGGATTTATCAACCCCTTGAGAACCCTAAACCCTATAAACCCCTAAACTTTAACCCCTAAACCCCTAAACTCTACACCCCCAACCCCCTTAGCCCCTAGACTTTAACCCCTATAAGCCCTAAACTCCTCCAGCCCTTGAGCAGCAAATCCCTCGCTGCGTGGCCTCTGAAGTGGTGGCTTCCGCCTGAAGAGCTATCCGCACGACCTCGATCCACGAAAACTGGGTTTAGGGTTTAGGGTTTAGGGGTTTGTTTCGGGGTTTAGCGTTCAGGGTTTCGGGTTCAGGGTTCAGGGTTCAAGCTTTAGGGTTAAGTGTTTAGGGTTTAGGGTTCAGTATATATATATATACACACACACATTATGTATATAAGGGCCCAAATCGCCTGCGCAGGGCAGGAAGATTGCAGGCCCAGCACCCGCCATGGGTGCGTCTGCCGGCTACGGGCTAGCAGTGCATAATGGCAAGTGTGCCATGCACAAGCTGGGCATGCAGGTTTTGCCTTCACCCAACATGATGGCGATCATGGGCTGTAAGATGGTTCGGAGGAGATGCTCGCATACTACACGGCAAATGCGTTTGCGACTGGCTTTAAGAAGTCGCTGGCCTTTCAGCTGCGCGGCATCAAGCAGAACAGAGGCTCGTCAGGCGAGGGCATCTGGATCACGAAGCGGCAACCTGGCAGCTCATGCACTTCACCCGATGTGATGGCCTTTATGGGCTCGAAGGACATGCTGTGCAGGGTGGCCATATTGAACATAGGTTTGGGGGACACGCTCGCGCAATTCACCATAGAGCAGTCTGCGACTGCCTTCAAGAAGTCCGCTGGCTTACGAGCCGCACGGCATCAAGCAGAGCAGACGCTCTTCAGGCGAGGGCATCTGGATCACCAAGCGGCAACCTGGCAGCTCATGCACTTCAACCGACGTGGAGGCGTTGATGGGTTCGAAGGACACATTCTGCAAGGTGGCCATGTTGAACATAGGTTTGGAGGACATGCTCGCACAATTCGCCGTAGTGGCTGGCATCAAAAAGATGCCGTCCCTCAGCCGCGCGGCATCAAGCAGAGCAGAGGCTCGTCAGGCGAGGGCATCTGGACCACCACAAGGAAACCTGGCAGCTCGTGCACTTCACCCGACGTGATGGCATTCATTAGTCTGAATGACATAATCATACTGTTCAGTGTAGCCCTTTTGAGGAGGACACGCTTGCATACTTCACCATGCAGGAGTCTGCGGCTGGTTTCAAGAGGATGTTGGCTCCCCAGCTGCGCGGCATCAAGCAGAGCAGAGGCTCGACAAGTGAGTGATGCTAGAGCGCTTTACATGTGAGCGTGGAGGTCTTATGGCCTTCATGCTATTGTTGAGTTTGATGTCGCGATATCACCTCGATCAAGGTGTTTAGACATCCTGGGCATCTCACCGTGTTGGGATGGTCTCATCTGATACCCATGAGGAAGATCCTGCGCTACTTAGGTCCGATATGTGGATCGTATACTGTCTGGTGCTTTGATCGCCGACTGCGGAATACAAAGCATCTGTGTTTGCCGAGCATTTTAACGCATCGTCCATGTGCCATCTTTTGATTTTGTTGTGGGGATGGGACAGCTTTTCCGCTTGCTGGTTACATCCCACTCCTGTCTGGTGAGCGCATACTCTGTTAGAGATTTCTGCGCCACCTCCCACGTTTATTTACTGCACGTCTTAGGCTGCGTCCGACCTGGACTCCGTGCCTTGAAAGTGAAAGTGATTATGTATATATGTATATATACACTCGTATTATAGAGAGAGAGAGAGAAAGAAAGAAAGAAAGAAAGAAAGAAAGAAAGAAAGAAAGAGAGAAAGAGAGCTAGAGAGAGAGAGAGAGAGAGAGAGAGAGACAGAGATTCCACACACAGGTTTCTCACATCGCCTGTCTGAGCTACCCAAAGCCGCTGAACCTAAGCCTTAAGAGGCTGTTGCCATGCGGCTGTGACACGGCTACCAATCGGTAGCCTGATGCATGCGGCATAAATGCTTTGGCTTAGGGTCCCTAATCTTTGGCTTCCCCTAGACCCTAAACCCCTTAACCCCTGAAGGCACCTCATTCTACGCTCTTTGGCTTCCAGAATCTACCGAAAAACACGCGAAGAACTCCGAAAACCCTTTCAGCCCGGCCTCAAGCACAGGAGCCTAGGGAATGGAGCCAAAACCTCCCATAGGCTCCTTAGTAGTTCCTTTTTGGGTTTAGGGTTTATATAGGCTTTTTAGTGGTTCCTTTTTGGGATTATACCTTACAGGATTCTAACCATAAGACAACAAAAGGAACTACATAGGAGCCTATGGGTAAACCCTGAACACTAAACGCCAAAACCTGATCTGCCGCAGATGCCTTGGCCCCATCGGTGAGGCTCCCACCTATCACGCAGGAAGCTCTATAGTCTTTCTTGGAAACTCGGTTGAAGTCATCACAACAACAGGGAGATATACCCTAAAAGCCCTAAGCCCTATAAGCTAGTTTTCATAACCCTAAACCCCAAACTAGTGTTCGTAATACTGGGTTCTTGTTAAAGGATTTAATTCAAGCTACGGTAGTAAGGATCTATAGTAAATGATATGGTTTCCTTACTATGGTGACTTACATTATTAAATCCCTTGACAACTGCTCATAAACATCTCTTTCATATAGCAATTCAAATGTTAATGACCTTCGTGGCCCAAGGCCAATAATTCGTGGCCGAAGGCCAATAATTATTGGTGGCCGAAGGTGAATAATTCGTGGCACCACACCCCACCACCACATCCCCCCACCACACCGCTCACCATAACCCTTCTTGCCACACCCCCCCCACCACACCCCCGCACCACATCCCCCACCACACCCCCCATTAACATTTAAATTACTATATGGTAGAGAGGTATTTATCGGCAGAACGGCGCGTGAATAAAACTCGTGGTTGTGAAGTAACTAACGGACTTTGTATTTTCCGATGTTGTGGGGTTCTAAGGGTGCGTGGGTGTTATGTCCAAGGTCGAAATCCTGAGACTACCTTAACCCTAAACCCTAAACGCCAAACCCAAAGTGTTCGCGGACCTCTTATAGTTTGAGGTTTTGCAGCTTATAGTAGAAGCCCACAATTTGGAAACCCAAAACCCCCCAATCCTTAAGAGTGATGTATAGGGAATCCCAGCACCAGCACTATTTGTCCTTAATCCGGTTTCCCAACTCTTGGGGTTTAATGTAAGGTGTTGCGGCTTAGAGTCTGGAGCTTACCGTCAACACCATCTAGCATTTTTGTTCGGGGGCATTTGCTTCTAGTCTAAGACCATTTGGGTCTTCATCAAAAGCTTAGGGACGGATGTGATGTAGGCTATGGGTTTCGAGTTTGTGGTACCCCCTAAACCCTAAACCCTAAACCCCCGGGTCATAGCAGGCAGACCCAGAGTCAAGATGGGCCTTGGGTTTGGGCAGCTCAGGGTTTAGGGGAATTTGGGGTTTGTAGAGGTTTAGGGTTTAAGGCTTTTCAATCCTCCACAAACTCTAAACGCCTAAACCTTAAGGTTTAAGGTTTACGGGTTTAGAGTTTGTAAGTGATTGAAACCCATGTGTATTGAAACGCAGGTGTGGCTCCGACTACCGCAAACAGACAGACACTACTTTCTTCAAGGGAGGTTACGTAAGGAGTTTTGAGACTTCAATTCAATTCGGGATGGACTGTCTTCGGCAAGCCACTCCGAAAAAGGATGCCAATTCCAAACCACCGGGGACCCCCAACCTAAATGCTGATACATGCAGCTCCTTTTTGGGGCATGTACTTTCTTTTGTTAATGTATAATGTTACAAGGGATCTGAGCCGTAAACTATAGTAGGCTATCCAATCAATGTGCCAAAATGCGAGCTCTTGGTGGACTTTACTTCCATTCAACGCTAACCCTACTATAAGCTCCACACTTCAAGTGCCCTAAGCCGCCCCATCCTACGCTGATAATACTTCCTTGCCTCCCACCCTAAACCCTAAACCCCAAACCCCTAAACCCCAAACCCTAAACCCTAAACCCCAAACCCCTAAACCCCAAACCCTAAACCCTAAATCCCACACCCCTAAAAACCCCAAACCCTAAACCCTGAACCGATGCCTCCCACGGTGACGATGACGTCGGCGCCGGCGTTTTTCGCCGCAGCCGCCGCCTCCAGAACCGCGTCGCGCGGGGAGTGCGCCTGGAAATGGTAGGGGCAGGGTTCAGGGGTTTAGGGTTTACAGGTGTAGGGGCTTTAGGGCTTTAGGGGCTTAGGGGTTTAGGGGTTTTAGGGGTTTTAGGGGTTAGGGGTTTAGGGGTTTAGGGGTTTTAGGGGTTCCTAATAGCCCTACACCCCTAAGCTTTGTTACTTACCAGCGCAAGGGTTACCTACTCAGCTACTAAGTCAACTCTTCACCATCAGCAGCCTCCTAGATACCCGAGTCCCTATTGTAGGGGCCTTAATAGAAAAGGGTCCCGTTTGGAGTTTTGTTTAGGGTTTAGGGTTTAGGATTTAGGGTTTAGGGTGCGCTGAATCAACCAGTAGCAGTCTACATTAGTGGTCATACGGTTGATGATATAGATCCTTAGCATTGCTCTAAGGACCCTAAACTATGGGAATTCTGGTATATTCCTCATAATGGGTAATGCAGGATTCATATCATCAACCGTGTTGTAGGGGCCTCAATAGAAAAGGGTCCTGTTTGGAGTATTACGCTGATATAATACTTCGAACAAGATGTTCAAGATTCTCTTCTAAGCCCTCAAACCATCAACCCCCAAAATACCTAAACCCTAAACCCTAAACCCCCAAATCCCTCTCTCAACCATGGAAGCCCCGTCCCAGCGGCCTACTCCTAAGCCCCAAAAGCCCCCACATTCTGGGAGCTGTGCCGGCATGCCGTCCCATACTCCAACCTCCGCGCATGCAACTTTAGGCTGACCTATATAGGGTATATTAACGGTTTAGGGTTTAGGGTTTAGGGTTAATATGAGCCAAAACCCGATATCGCGCTCTCTGAATCTTAAGGGCCTTATACCGGTAACCGAAAAGACCTACCCTTTTTTAAGGAACTACATATAGAAACCATAATAATGAACCCTAGAAAGGTAGGTCTTTCCGGTTACAGGTAGGAATTTAGTAGGGTTTGTGCATGTTTGTGCCCTCTAGAGATGTTGGCTTCCGGCAAGACAAGCTACGTAGCGACGTAGGGCGCATAGAAGCTGAGGGACCGATGCACATACATTGGCTTGTTGCTCCTTCATCCCTACATAACCCAGAGGGTCCATATGTACTGCTATTGTGAAAGTAGGGCCAGAAAACCATCCTTCTAATGTTGTTGGGGAACCTACCATAGTAGTAGTTTATATACACCCTTTGGGTGACCCTTGTATATATGATTCTCAGAACCCGGTAATCTGCTGTGTAGTAACCGGGGAGAGCGTACCACGACTAAACGACCTCAAGGTTTAGGCTTTAGGATATAGGACATCGGGAACAGGGTTTGGGACCAGATGCCATACAATTAAACCCTAAACACCTAAACCCGAAACCCTAAACCCTAAACCCCTAAACCCTAACCCCTACACCCCTAAACCCCTAGAACCCTAAACCCTAAACCCCTAACCCCTAAACCCCTAAACCCTGAACCCCTAAACCCTAAACCTTAGCATGGGGGCCGGAAAGAGGATCTTCTTCCGAACTCTTCTGAGCTCTGTTAAAAAAGTCCAGTCCTGGTTGACTACCCAGACCTTCCAACATCGCTCGATTACGGAATATACCCACCCTGACTATGGTAGGATCCTCAATAGACTTGAAGTATTTTTCCGCCATTGAGGGATATCAATTACGGAACTTAGTTGCAGAGTTCATAAGCACAACAAAAGTGCACGCTTTCAGTTCTAGGCTATAAGGGATCATCTTCTCCCCAAAAAGTTTATAAAGTGTACTCATTCAGGTACTGAGGGCTCTAAAACCCACACTCAATAGACGTAAGGTATATTCCGCCAGTAAGGGATACTGGAAGGCCTGGGTACCAACAACCTTCTGTTTCATAATGGCTCCAAGGAACAGGTCCCCAAAAAAGCAAACAACCACAAGTAGAAATTTCTTCATATATATATGCATATAATATCTCTATAGATATATACACACATATATATGTATGTATGTATGTATGTATGTATGTATGCATGCATGCATGCATGCATGCATGCATGCATGCATGCATGTATGTATGTATGTGGTGCTCCAAAATCCTGTGGCTGGTTTACTAGGCTCTTCAGTAGGCCCCTGAAACAAGTAGATAC